CCCTTTTCAACAAGACCACCAAGTACTCGGCATGTTAGCTCTTCAAGGGCGGTTTCAGAACCAGGCATTCCCATAGCACATCTTGCGTAGACTCGGACGCCCTTGAATGGTGTGGCTACCCCACAGTACTTCATTGAATCCCGCGACAACGGAATCTGGTAAAATGCCTTTGTAAGGTCTGTGGCGATGATGTATTTCCATTGCGCAATCTGGCGGAGGGTGGAGTCCACGTCTGGCATAAGGGATGGCTGCGGTTTGGCATAGCGACCGACATCTGCAAAGGCGGTAACCAGACGGAAACCCCCATTTGGCTTCTTAATCAAGAATGATGGGTTCACATACTCAACAGCGATGTTGACGTCTTCTGGTCGTTTATATACACCTATACCCTCTAGCTCGTCGAATTTCTGTTGAAGCTCGCCCAGTTGGTTTCGGGAGTACTGGGGTACCCTCCCCTTTCTCTGGGGGGGCTGAACGGGCCCCATATTTACATGCGCCTGGAAGGGGCCTACTGCATCATTGTACCCAGCAAATATCGGGTTGAAAACCTCATCAAACTCTTTAAGAACAGTTTTAAATTTGGCCTTCATGTCACATGGCATGATGTTGTCAGGATCAAGGTTGACAAGATCAGAGTGATGAGCTGTTCTTGGAAATTTGGATATTTTGGGTGACACAGGAGCGTCGCCCGAGGCTGAGTTGTCGGGAAGGAATGTACTACGGGCAATGCAGAAGTGTTCATTCTTCTTCACCAGTTGAGGTTCTCCTGTGAGATTAGGAATGCGGATCTTGCCAGAGATACTAGATATGATGGAAGGTTGAGGCCAGTTGGATTAAGTATTGTTGATTGACGCATGTGGTTCCACCGCCACCTTTGTACCAAGCTCCTCAGGGAGTTCTACTTCCAAGTACTCTCCTGGCCAGACAGTTGAGCAAGACGGGGCGCGTAACACTTGTCGCACAGCATATCTGTCCATTGGGGAGAGCGGAGAACTGTAGGAGTATAACGAGTTACCTCCCAGAATAACCTGTCTTTTGGCAGGACGGATGAGGACATCGTTCACTTCCATAAATGGAATACCTGCTAGAATATCAGAGTCTAGATTCTCGACGACCAATCCCTCAAAATAAAGCTCATGCCCATCACGAGAGAATGTTGACCGCGTTTCGCCCAACACTTTTAGCGGAGAAGACCCATCTGCCTGGTGTGCAGACTGGGTTGTAGTTGTCACACGCAAACCTAAGGCAGTAGCGCAAGATGCACGTATCATGTCTCCTGTTGCACCGCTATCAATGATAAGGCGCACAGTATTATGGCCATGGAACACATCCAGATATGGTGACTGTAGTATTTTGAC